GCCTGTGCCTGTGCCTGTGCCTGTGCCTGTGCCTGTGCCTGTGCCTGAAGGTTTCGGTCCTGGAACTCTGACTAGGGCAGTAATAGGGGAATGAGATGAAAAACAGACTCTTGCACAGCAAAGCCAGGATCAGGCGTCTAATCACTGCAACCTGGAGCCTCAGAATGGTACACCATAGAAGGAAGGGTTGAGTAAACTCTGTAGGAGGTCTTTGTAGGTGAACAGTCTCGCCTACAAAACATCTGGAGGAAGCTGCAGTTGTGAGGCTTTGTATACACTCATCAATCCTACATAAATACCTACTTAGACTCCTGAGAAAAGCTTTATCTCTCTTGAGCTTGGCCCATATAGATATGAACTTGGGTAAATTGTCCCATGGGTTGGAGGTCTTGGAGTCTTCAACATGGCCATGCCTGTGCCAAAATACACAGGCTTCACTCACTCATGGATTCTTCTGCCCTACACATGACTATACACGGTAATAGAGGCCAACAAAATAATAATGCTAGCTTTTGAAGATGGTAGCTCTTACACAACAATACCACAGTCACCAGGAACTTGTTGACAAGACAACCTTTCATAGACATCAGAATTATCAAGATTAGAGCAGTTAAGACACAGATGGTTGGGCACTCTGCATGCCTCCAGAGTTTCTGACAAGAGACGCAGTGAGGACGTGCTTTTTTAGCAAGTTCCCAGATGCTGCTGATGGTGAGGTACTAAGGACCACCCTTTGAAGACTTGTTTTATCAAGTATAGTGGTACAGGCATATATTCTGAGCTACTTTTAATAATCTGTCTAAAAAAATAATCAAAAGGGATGAGGGTGTAGCTCAGTGGTAGACAGCTTGCTTTGTGTGGCAAGATTATAGTTTATCCCATGTATGACAGAAAAGGGGATGGGAGGAGATTAAAAAAAAGGCCACTGTTTTAATGCAGTGGGCTTCAACTCTGACCATGTATTAGGCTGACATCAGAGCTTGTCCTGTCTTGGAACAATCAGGCTACCATCTCTTTAGGAAGCAATGTGACAGCAGGATTAGTTGGCTGGACTCCACAGGTGATTCTAATGTCCAGTCAGAATAGCTACTCCCTGGTCCAGACTTGAAAGCTTAGAAATCCTGACCCTATGGAAGGGTGACATACCCCAGACAACACCTCCCTTTTTAAAAACACATTACATGCAAAGGGTAGAATAATTGGGGGCCTAACTATCTCTTTGGTTTTGCAATTATCTTGTTATGTGACCTTGACCTTGTATAAATCACCATACTCCTCTTGGGTATTTTTTTCTCCATGATAAAACCAAAGAATAATAAACAAAGGTTTTCTGTTTTTAAAACACTGGTGTCTTTTAAAAACAAAGCATTTGAGTTTCTGTGGCAAAAGACTCTCGCTTCCAATCCTGACAACCGGAGTTTGATCTCCAGCACTCACATAGTGGAAGAAGAGAACCAACTCCTGCAAGTCATAATCTGACCTCTACAAATACATCCAGGCACAAGTAAAAAGGAAGGAAGGGGGAGAGAAGGGGGATGGGGGAGGGAAGGGAAGGGAGGAGAGAAGAGGAGAGGAGAGGAGGGGGAGAGGGAGGGGAGGGGGAAGGAAGGGGAAGAGAGGAGAGGGGGAGGGAGGGGGGAGGAGGAGCAGAGGGGAGGAGAGGAGGTGGGAGAGGGGGA